TATTAATATATTCTATTTTAAATCTTTGATCTATATATATATTATTTTTGTTAATCTTTAATTTTTTTTAATTTATAGTTTTAACATTTGTTTTTATAAATCATATAAATTTATTTTTAATTAATTATATAATTTGATAATAAATTTCTAGAATTTCTAGAATATTGTAAATTAGCACGTATAAAAAAATTAAAATATTATATTAAATTATATTAAATATTAATTTTATACGTATATATTACTGTTTTATATGAATTATTTAGATATTTATATATAATAAAAGTTATTGACATGTTACAGATTATGGTATGTATAGAATATATATGGTATGTATATAGTTTATAAAATTATAAACTATATACATAAATTCAATAATTTTCAAATGACAAGTGTATTTAAAAAAAAACAATTTAATAAATCATATAATTATGCAATTTATTATTATTCAATAGCATATAACACGCTTTATCGTGAATGTAATTTTAGAAGATATATAAAACAATATGTATTGCACAAGATATATAATATATTAATATAATATATAAATATTCTTATTAATTATTTATTATATTATATTAATAAATATAATGAATATAAATTTATTAAGTATATTTATTAACATTTATTAAGAACAAAAATCTTATGAAACGATCACGATAATATGAATTTTTCAATAACTTATTTTTTAATAATTTCAATTTTATTTTTTTAATAACTTCAATTTTTCAATAGTGATAACTTCAATTTTTTTTAGTAACAGATACTGTTTTTCTATATTTTAAAAACACAATAGCAATAGTCAATTTCATTACTACAATTTCATTACATGCGTCAATTGCGATCGGTCATTGGAAAAACATTGCAAAGATTGCAAAAATTTTTTTTTACATAATTTTAATTTATTTTTACATAATATAAAGCGATCTTGCAAAGACTTATTACTTTTTTTATTACTTTTTAGAAAAATAACTATTAGTTCTTTTTTTCTTTAATTACATTTTTGCCAAAAATAATTAATTGGAAGAAGAACTAGAATCCGCGAGAATTTTTAGAAAATTTTCAAAATTTAATTACATCTCAATTAGAATCCAATTAGAATGCAATTAGAACTTAACTAATCGTTGCAAATTTCAATTAGTGGTTATAAAAATTAATTAGCTATACTAGAAAATAGCTAAAAATTAATCATCATTAAATTCACTGAATATTCACAATTATAGTTATACACTTCCACATATTGTGAGTGGATGCTTCAAGGAATAGCATTTAGTTCAAATACTTTGTGAATTACCTCAATAATTTCAGCCAATAATTAAAATTGATTTAAATTTTTATATAATAAAATTCAAACATATTTACATTATATTACTTAAATTATACCATATAAATAAACATTATAAAATTACATCAACATTTTATCACAATTATATATATATAATATGTATTTAAACATTTTAAAATATTAAGATTTATTTACGATGTCATATTTTCTATTTTTCCTTGAACGGGTGATCCAAAATAAGTTATCTTGCTGCAATCAGAAATAAATGTTAATTTTAATCACACAGTTATAAAAACAAATATATATCATAAAATAAAAATGATTGCAAAGTTTCTTTTTAATTATTATTTATAAAAAGAAAAGGAAATTAATTTGTAAATACAAAAAAAAACAAAAAAAATTTTTAATTTTTGAATTATAATAATGTTTGTATTATTATTATATAATATAATAATTATAATGTTGTTCGACTTATGATTTTAAATTATTTCTATTTTAAAATATTTTTTTTTCTTATAAAATATAATTCTTGATTTTAACCTTACAAATAAAAGAAAAAATTTTATATTTTATATATTTGTAAATTCGCATATCTTTGAAAGATTAATTCTATCAAAGTATATTAGTATATTAATATACAAAAATATTAGTTTATATATAAAAAATAGAATTTATTTATTAAGTTACAAATTTATAAGCAATTTAAATTATGTTAAATCAAGCGAAATAGAAATAGAATAATTCATATTACAAAGATAAAAATATCTTACTTTATTTTTGCTTTGCTTTATTTAACATAAATTTAATTATTTGTAATTAAGTCTCAATTGATATTTTTATATATTAATTTTCATGTTTTTTTTATTTTTAAAATCGATTTTTCAAAACTGTTTCATATATTAATATTTTATATATAATAGCATATAGTCTTGTCGATAATTGTCATAGTATCGAGATTGAAACGCGTCAATTACCTAGAGAAATAAATATATTGAAAATTATTGACAACTTTCATTCGATTTCATTCGTTTCACTAAGTCATGACGAAGTAGAAAAATATAAAAGAAAAATGCTTGTATTTTGTTTTCAATGTATATCTTAAACTACATTTGTATCGACATTTATCAATCGGTAAAAAATTTTTTGTAATAATAATTATAAATTGCAATTTTACCGATTGATGTCAGTAAATATAAACAAAATCAGTATTGACAATACATGATCGATAACAATCAGATTTGATTTTCCATTATAATCGAATACGATTAATACTGATATCAATGAAACGCAAAATATTGGCAAAAATCGACCAATTAAATTATTCAACAGAACTTAATTGATTGGCAAATATCAAAATTTTAAGTTTTTATATGTGTTCCAAAAACCAGAGTTCTAATTCTAGAAATTGATGAAAATAACTCCATAATAATTAACTCATTTTTAATTTTATCTTATATTTTTTTTTAATTTTATTTTATAATTAATATTTTATTTTAAATTAATAATATATAAATACATGATACATACTTGAAAATAATCTTCAATTTCTTGAAGTGTACGATTTTTCGTTTCTGGCAAAACAATATAAATAAATAATCCTTCTACAAGAGAAGAAATTCCAAAAATTATAAAAACTCCAATAACACCCACTGCCTCATTCACCTATTTTAACAATAAAAAAATCAGATTAATAATGTTTTATTATTACATATTATAACATATTATATAATATCATACAATATGTTATTATATATGATAATATTGTGTAATATATATATATATATATACAATGTTATATAATATATTAAATTATTTGGAATGTTCGAAATATTTTTTATAGTTGATATATTTCAATCCAATATTTTGTACATTCTATATTGAATGACATTTTTAAAAAGAATTTTTTAAATATTATTTAAATCATGATTTGTAAAAAGACATTTAATTTTTAAAATTTTCTCAATTATATTATCACGTCTTATCTTAATAAAAAAATTTATACTTCTTGTATTTTTTTATAAATATTAAATTAAAGAATGATATGAAAAATAACAAATAAATTTAATCTACTAGATATTATATATAAATAAGATTATATATATA